CTGGCGGCCAGTCTGAAATTCAGCTAGAAGCATCTGCCGAAAAACCGATGCCGGTAGCGACAAAACGGGGAACTCTGTGAAAAACGCATCTTCGCACGGGCAGCCAGTGCGTTGGCCGTTTATTTTTTTATTGAGCGCATAAACGGTACAGTTTAGTTTCCGATCATCATCCAGCCTATAGTTTTCTTTCAGTTTTGTTCAAATGAATACGTATGTACCATGATTATAATGGGTTATAATTTTCAGGCATTCGAGCCGCAGTACAAACAATTGGCGACAAAGTTCAAAACAGAAGAGCCGAACTTGGTATTTGTGAAAATCGATGCAACAGCCAATGATGCTCCAAAGAACTACGAGGTGCAAGGATTTCCGACCATTTATTTTGCACCGGTTGGAAAGAAAGAGCATCCGATCAAGTATGAAGGGGATCGTAAATTGGACGATCTCACTGAGTTCATGAAAAAGCATGCCGTCGTATCATTTCAAGGCAAAACCGAACTTTGAACATAGTGGGTGTTCGTTTTTGCACGATATTGTTACATCCAGCGCTAGATTGGTATCCTTCTCCTGGCCGTTATTCTTACACTGGCCGTGTTTATCGCCTTTCGCAGAGTAAATCAGATCCCTTGGAAATAGCATTCTACGGCGGATTCGGCACTTGTGGATTAACCCCAAGTTGGGACGCACCAGGCTTGTTGCTGCGATTGTGCGCTTCTGCACCAGACTTAAAGCAGTTAGGTCGTTAACTGTATAAATAACTGTTGATTTACATTTATCTTTTGTACTTACTAGCGTAAATCATCGTGTATTTTGCATAAAGGAAATTGAACAATTTTCGTTGAACGCTTTTTCATTGAAAATGTCTGGGCTGTTCAATGAGCAATTTTCTCCTCAAACCTTCTACGTCTCATACGTGAGGACCACATACATCTGGGGACTAAGTTTGAAGTCATTAAAACAAGGAACATTCCCTAAAATTCCATCTTCCTAGCCTTTCTGGTTCTCCATTTAACAATTTTCCGCTCAAAAATTACATATTTTTGAGGCGTCCTTATGTGGAACCGAGGTGTTTGCAATTGTTAATACTAGAGCGAGAGAGTCCCAAAAGAAGTGGGCACATGCTTTTGGAGTTTTAACTTTTTAGCTTTT